TTAAAGTTGCAACAAGACGTCGAACTCATTACTTTCCAAACCCCCTCCTGGTACATTGTTATAGCAAATATATCAGATATTCTTGAGTCGTTACTAAAATATGTATTTCGTGCAGGTAAGTATTATCTAGTTGACGTCGGATGTCCTTTACAAATGGGTTAACTAAAGCCTTATGCCGACACGAAGTACCACATTTCGGACTTCGAGAGGTCAAGCGGGGTTGCACGTGGTAGAAAGGAAATTTTTAACAAGCGACACTCCTCTTTACGTTGTGTCATTGAGAGGTCATTTGGGGTATGGAAGAAGAAGTAGGTGATATTACGTGACATGTCAACCTACCCATTTTCGAAGCAAGCAAAAATAGTCGTGGCAACAATGACTCTGCATAACTACATACGACGACATCATTCACGCTCTGATGAGGATTTTGCATCTGTAGATGAAAACTTGCATCATATTCCACAAGAAGCATTTGAATTCCATGTCGGTCGTCCCATACCCCAAGATGAATCAGAACATCCTTACAGGCGCGAAGGTGAAGGTGCAAGGGAAATGGTGACATTGCGAGACCAGATAGCGGACGAAATTGTGCGATCATGACACTACTTCTCGTGGGTGAAGTTGTTGTATAGCGAAGTTCAAAGTTAATTTTTTGAAATAGCAATTTTTTGGACTTTGACGAAGTTCAAAGTCAGTTTTTCAAAAAAGCAATTTTTTGTACTTTGGCGAAGTTGAAAGTCAGTTTTTGTTAACCTTTTTTGCACAGTTGTTGAATCTTTTGTATACTGATGCATATTGATGAAAGAGCAGGATTTAAACTTGAGACTTGCAATTTTGTTATGTTTTAAGTAGAAATTTGATTTTTGCTTTCAAAACTTGTCTTTACTTCATTTTATTTTCCTATAACTATTTCTGTTTGGATTATGAAGTTTATACCGTGCCCAAAATTTGGATTCTGAAGTTTTTTATTCTTATTCTGCTATTGTTTGGATTCTGAAGCTAGTGGGGAAAATGGTTTGTTCTTCATAAAGTTCTACGTAGTTCTGCTTTTCCATGTGTCCCATAAAGTGGTTTGCAGAGGCGCCCCATAAGCAATGCTTTTATATTCATCGTTTGAAGGATAGTGGGGATGATGATACTAAGCTGAGTTACTGAAGTGAATGAATACTGTTTGTTAGACGAAGAATGTTTGAACTATGGTGAAAAAATAAGCAGGAATATATCATAATCACTACATTTTCTTAGAAAGAACTTGAAGGTTTATGCCATTGTATTTTCCAAATTTATACTATGCCATTTTTTTCCCTTATCTGTTGTCTTATTGGAACCAATACAGAGATAATTTGCAACTTCTGAGGCAGCGCTACTATTATGCTGAAGTAATAGTTTGCAACTTTCTGTTGCTGAAGTAATTGCTTAAAGAGTTTTATCCTGGCAATTGATGGTTTATGAAGTAATTGCTGAACCTGCTTGATTCTGAACTTAAACATCAAACTTTAGGTGTAAGATATGTAAATACATAGAAACTGCATGGTATGTTTGTAAATTTCCCAATAACTTGCTGTTGCTTCATGTTAGCTGTTTGTAAATTTCCCAACCTAAACTGTGTTGAACAGCAAGAAAATGGAGGTGGCTGTAAAAATACCTCCAGATTTTAAAAACTTTAGTGAAGGTGGCTGTAAAAATTAGACGTTGTCTCACTTTCCAAGTGAACTATAACAGCAAGCTTCTATTTTTATTTGATCTCTGCCTTAGTGGCACCTCTTTCTATGAGAAATTCGGTATTTTCTCTTGGTTTTCACACCCTAATGATATTAAAGTTTTTGAAATGGATATTCACAACAGATAGTCTTTACCTACCACATATAATATTTTGGAAAGATTGTACTCATCTCATCCTCAACACCGCACTAGGCGGGAGGGAGCAAATCTACGTTTGGTGGAGTAAGAACTTCTCTCATAAATTTGCTTATTCTTTTATTTATGAAGAGCAAGAGCGTCCTGAAACAGGTTGGAGCAAACATAGCTTGAAAACAAAGGACAATCTTTTATAGAGAGAGATTCATGTTAACTTGCAATGTGTTCTTTGTCAAACTTATCATAAAACACATCCATATTTATTCTTTGAATGCTCCTTCCTCCATTATTTGCTTAAAACTTGCATCCCTAATGACCCTGGTTGTGCCTCCAAATTTTCACTTAAAGCCCTGACAATAACTTTGTGGTTTGTCATGAAAACCTTATATAATATCATGATAGTTTTAAGAAAAATTAATACTAACATCAGAATGTAAATTTCAATGGCCAAAAAAGGAAATCTGAACTATTACCCTTTTTTATAAAATTTACAAAATTAGTCTCTCCAAGAATTGGTCTCTAATAAAAATCTGAGTTTGATTTGCATATAAATTAGCAGCATATTTGCATAACAAATTATTAAAAAAAAGAGCATTTACATACATACGACCCAATTCCTATGCATTTACATATCTAAACACCTAAATTTTGCTTTTCACATTTATGCCACCCAAATCTTTCATATCACATCAAAAATATCATGATTTTGACTTTTTAAAAGTCAGATACATATTTTCATGCACGAGTAAGACAACATATATATAAAAATTCAAGTTTAGGTGTAAGATTTGCAAACATATACAAAAAAGCAATAAAAAAAACCAATTTCATTATTCAATAAACTTATACAAGCATTCTCTGAAAATATACAATTGAAGAAGCACCAATTAGCACATAATGGTTGGAAAGAATTGCAGGATTTCAAGAACATCAAAACTCAAACTGATGTTCTAAAACAAAAGATTAACTTTGCCATAAGACAAAAAAGGCAATAAAATGAATCCTTAAAGGGAAATTCCTACTAGCATTAACAAGTTGTACTTCAAATGATAAGAATAATGCCTTGATTTAAATGGTTTCCTAAGATGGTGAGATATGATAATGTTATTGTATGAACTCTAATTGCTCTATATCTGAATGGAAGAAAATTTAAATCAATTATGTGCAGGCCTTTTCTTCATTCTATGATGGTAAAATTATATCCTATGGAAGGATATGCTTACGGTTATAATAATTGCAGGACAATGAACTCGAGGTATTCAAGGAAGTCAAGACAAGTGATGTGCCGATGTGGACGATGTGGGCTACCTTCATTGCTACTCACGTCACGACAGACACATAGCTACGGGCGGCAATTCTACAGGTGTCCGCTGTGGGGATAAGGACCGGAAGACTGCAAATTCTTCAGGTGGGCCGACGGTGCAATTGTTTCTACGATATTCCAATTCGACACAGCTGCTAAGAGTTCGATAGTACCACAACGGGAGACCACCTCATGTGGTTCGAGTTCTTCCGTTTCTACGATATCGCAGTCGGACAGTTTTGCTCAGGGTTCTGGAGTGTCAGATGCAGGTGGCATGTGTCGTGATATGCTGCTACATTATAAAGTTAACATTATCATATTTTTACTTGTCATTTTAACATGTTATTTTTTCTTTTTTATGGGCTCTTATTATACTTTGTAGCAGTATGTGCTGGTGCATTTGACTTTTGTATCTGTAACATATTCGTTTGATGTGATCGGATATGTTTTAGTTATATAAATATAAATTAACTTTTTTGTATTTTCTTGTCTGAACATTTTTCTTTATTTTTGTTGAGAAAATAACAAATTCTGTTGCACAGATTATTTATTTAATTAAAAAAAATTTGCAAATAAGCTGTTTACAAAACGCACTAATCAAACAGCTAAACGGCTTATTCAGAACAGGGGCAGAATAATCAATTTTTCAGAATCAGTTGTTTTCCATAAGCGCAAACCAAACAGTCAGACAGCTTATCTGGATCAGCTGTTCATCAGCAGATTATCAAGATAAGTTGCTTATCAGCAAAAGCTGGATAAGCTGCAGCTACCCCAAACATACCCTTAATTTCATTTCAAACTTCATTTTGGTATGATTTGTTCAAATGATTCTGCTACTGCTCCATTTATAAATATCAGGCCTTGTACTGTTTTGCGTAGTAATTAAAATCAATTCAAGTTCCTCCTAAACCAGTCCTTCTCTCTCTCTCTACTGAATTATGTTATATGCTATACCAAAGAGCTCTAAATGAAAGGAAATCAAGCCCCACCGGCAACTTCCAACACTTGGAACTCCTTGAGGATGTGGTGGACATCAAGGGGAAGCTCGTGTCTTGCTTGAACAGATTTTAAGCATAAAGAACAAAACTTATTTGCTCCACACAACCTTTCTATATCCAAGGGGATGGCTAAAATGAAATTTTGGTTTTCCTCAGGTCCACCCTACAATTGGAACATGAGTCCCCTTAATATAAAAACTGTTATATAATTAAAATAACCATGCACCAAAAGTGCAGATGTGACATTCAAGGAACCTGCAGTTAACGTTGCTTAATCATGGGGGGATGCTCCATGAAAATCAAAAATGAAGTAAATCAGTCACTCCCAATTGAACAATCAGCTTTAATACCACTACATGGGGGGTGAAACATGGGGACCAAATTAAGCCCAACATACAAAGAAATGGAATAGTATCAATTAAAACCGTTAAACTACTCGATAAAACTATACCTGAGAACCCAACACCTTATCTCATGACTACCATACGACCACTCAACGCATTCGTAGGTATGAGAATGGTAGACTCTGATAGAGTGTTATTCACAATATTCATAAAAATAATGAGTTTTCCTTCCTCAATCCTTCCATGGAAAATGTGTGATATGATTCAAAAAAACCACAAAAAAAATAGTTAAACTGGTAATATTTCACCCACTAACTAAAAGCAAGCACACAGCTTACGCTAGAGAAGTATGTAAGGCTATCAATCTAGAGAAAAATAAAATAAAATAAAAAGGTATAACAAAGGATTTCTGAAAAGAAAATTGGCAAACTAGCATCAAAGTTCAACAACAAAATTATGAGGCAAAAAATAAAAAAATAAAAAACCAAATTTCATTACGGGAAGGAAAAACTATTAGTGGAAGAGAGATGAGACGAGTCGAGGGAAGCCCTCCGGCCGAGGCGCAGCGGGTGTGAGGCTCCGTAGAGCTCCATGGAGCGGCCTCCTAAAGATCCACAAAGGCTAGGGGGGACAAGCGATGGGTGGGAGAGAAAACCCATGCAAAACCGCGAAGGGGGGAATTACGCAGAAGCACATTCCGAGGTAGTAGGGCTGAGAGTACTCTATCCTGAGCTCGCTGTCTTCCCGCTTCCTCCGGCTGTGAGAGAGGAGGAGATTGCGATAAGTCTCGAGGAGAGCAGATGCACGAGTGAGCAACGATGAGTATCGAAAAGCCGAATGAAACTTTAAATGCCGACTCGGGCTTTGAGGCCGGTTTTGGGTCGAGTCGGTCACATCCGGTCTGAGTCGGGTCGCGTCAGCTCAGATGGTTCTGATCGACACTCAGACAGTAAATTTAAGCGGGCTAATCAAAGGTAAAAACTTTCTGGACGTAGCTCGGGGCGGTTATTGTGGCTGTTATGTAGGGGTTATTGAAATGGAATCGCGGAGTTTATGGGGGGGGGGGGGGGGGGGTTTTAGAGTGGGGTGGGTGGGGTTATTTGGGTGTTATTGTGGGGTTATTGTCGTGGTTTATTGAAGTGAAACTCCGAAAGTTATAGGGGGTTATTGCAGAGAGTTATTGGAGTAGAACTGCGGAAGTTATTTGGGGGTTATTGAGAAATTATTGTGATGTTATTAGAATCAATGCCCCAATAACCCCCTAATAATATTTGCGGTTCTATTCCAATAACCACTACGGTTCCACTCTAATACCCTATGTGGTTATACTTTAATATTTTTTTAAGTGGACACCATATATCACACATGGCGGCATATTACTAGAGTCCGCGCGCAAAGCTGCTTTCGGACTCCGGATGAAAAATTTTCTCCAATCAAAGCCCGACTCAAGGGTGTCGCGGTGTGGGTGGGAGGTTGAAAAAACCTTATGGATTTAGTAAATTAATCAAATGCCCTAATTTATTCCTTAATTTTGAGCAAATTTGAGTGAGCAAGTATAGTGAATGTGGAGAATGATTCAACTTGATGAAATTTTTTGGTTGTGTCCGATAATGAACTAATCGGACTAGGATGAGTTGGTTCACACCTAATTGAGAAGAAATCAATCAACCAATTAAGAATATTTTTCTAGCTGACAAATTTATAAAAAAAGAGGTGGGGAATTTTAAATAATCTTTTAACAAAAGGATAATTTTAATATATATATGTGTGTGTGTGTGTGTGTGTGTGTGTGTGTGTGTGTGTGTAAAGGAGCTACTCCATGGGCTACTTGCTTCTCGCCCTTTTTTTTTTAATTTCTTTTGAGTTATATAATTATTTGGAGCTCTAACACAATGACTTCATTGTAATATTAAAGTAGTTTTATTAATTATATGATGTATTTTATATAAATTTAAATATATGAAATGTCATAATGAATCAATTTTATTTAATGTTTTACATTAAATTGGTGAAACATAAACAAAATTCTTTTAAAAAATATTTTTTTTTCTAAGTTGCCTACATGTTGGGTGGGCTACCCTATTCGCCAAGTTTTTTTTTTATTTCAATTTTTTAACTAATTTATATGATTATTAAGAACTTAAAAAAATTTAAATTTTATAATTAAGAAATTTTATTAAATGATTTTCTTAAAATTAATTTATAATTTTTTTAAGATATATTTTTTATTTTGTACGCTTCACTGGAAAAGCAAAATTAAGTGATTTTGGGTTTGAAGTGTTTTAAAGCAATGCTGAGATCTGAGGGTTTTCTCTTTTTTTCCAATCTATTGGGAAAACCCCTAGGGTTTGCTTCAAAGATCATCATATTGTGTTCTCTTATGTCTTAGGAGCTCGGCCCTTTTACCTTCTATGAATTTGTATTCCATTTATAGATGGAAACATACTTCTCGTAAATCTTTTCAACTTTCCTCATAATCTATCTTCTTCTCTGAAAATTTATTATACTCAAGATGTTGCATTATGTATATTTATCGTGGTAGAATACTAATAGGAATAATCAAATCCATATTGTTCAAAGGAATAGGAGTATGCCTCCCATTTTGTTCTAGTATCTGACTTTAACGTTCATTTTGTTTTATATGTGTCGCCTGATATTAATATCCCTGATGATATCTCTTCTATAAGTCTTGAAATTGATGATAAATGTGGTGAAATTAATATCCTTGTTAATAGTTCTTCAGAAGTATGCACCACGATAACAAAAAACAGAGCGCAAACTTCATCTAGACGGACCTGATTTGCGTTATGGGTTTCCACTAGTTATCATCACAAATAATAAGACAGCTCGCAACAAAGTTGTAAAAGACTTCTATCAAAATCAGAGGATCAACTTAAAGTTCTCATATGTGCATTATCCTAAGACTAATGGAAAAGTCGAAGACGACAAAAAAAATATCTTAAAATTGTTAAGGAAGACATCAAAGAAGCACAGTGGAATTGGGTCGAGATCCTTTCTTCTATTTTATGGGAAACATTTGAAGAAGAAAACATGGTCAAGTTGCAAAAGCCAACGATGAGGGGATGACACTTGTGCTCGAATTTGTAGAGGAAAAACAGGATAACTCATCTCTTCGATAAAAAGAAATAATGATGAGAACGACTCGGTACTACAACAGGCGTGCTTGAGAGAATATTTTTGCCCTCGAAAACCTTGTATTAAAGCTGGCCAGTCCAACCGACCAGACATGATCTGGCTTGTTCATTATCAACCAACAAGTTTCCCCTTGAGCGTACAACCGAAGGCCTACACAAGAAAAGACGCCCCTCGGACATGGAGCGGAGATGACTTGAAAAAATTATTTTTTCGAAAGAATTCTTTGTAGCACCATGAGTAAAAAGCAAAGGCGTTTTCATTGCAAATCTTGTACATTTATTCATTACAAAAAGAAATTATTAAAGACATATCACGACTAACTATGTGCACAATCTCATGTTTGAGCAACACTCAGGAAACTCAAGGTGTTCACCCAAAAAATTGTCAATATCTAGCTAACACTCAGGGAATTCAAACTAGAGTCGTGAACCGACAATGACGCATGATATCCAATCAGTAAAATGTAACAAAAAATCGATAATGACGCAAGACATCTGATCAATAAAACCCAACTTTAAATAGCCAACAACGATGATTAACATTTGATGGACATCTTCTCAGGAATCGACCATCAACGCTCGAGCATTAAGAAAAATATGTCCCCTAACTCGATATAGGTCAAGTTCTGGATGTGGTTTCCTACTCATTAGCGAAAAGATCTAGGGTGAGTAGAGCGCACCCGACCGATCAACTGATACATATGAAATATAAGACTTGACTTGGGCAGTAGCGCGTCAAAATTAATTAAAGACACTCTCTAGAGGTCGAACCGTCACTAAGTAAAAAATACAATAAAGGTAAATGTATAAGACAAAGGTAAAAACCGATTAAAAATTCGTTTCATTTCATGAATAAAAGATTTACTAAAATTTCCTTTGAAGTTTTCTATGATTTACAAACAAATAAAGAAAAAAAATCCTAAGTATAGATGAATCAAAGCTGAGTTAAGCATTAGAGGATCCCTCGTCATCCTCAGTGCTCACATCCTCTAACTCGTCCTTCTCCTCTTCTTCAGCCAAAGAGCAAGAGAGGAGTTTAGCAATCTCTTCTAAGTCTGACCACTAAGGATCGATAAGATTCACTTACACAGACTGATTGATCGCCTGTTGTGTCTCGAGCTAGAGGTGCTTAGTCTATAAAAAAAATCTCTTTTGTCTTCATTGTTGCCATCTTGCCCTTCGAAGTTTTATTCTCCTCTTAGGTGACTGACTACAACTTCGACTTACTATGCACCTCCGTCTTCGCTTCCTCCGGCCGCCACTTAGCCATATTTGCCCGTCTCTTGGCGGTCTTTGCCAGCTTTTCAACAACCTTTGCTCGTTCCTCCACGAGCTTTGCCATCTTTTAAGCTTTATATGATCTCTACTCTAACGCCAAGAGGAGTGTAGATCGGAAGTGCAAGGCCTTGAATGTCATTAGCAGATATTGATCGACAAACTGACATAGGCTTAGGTGATTGTCCTCATGGAGATGCTCCTCAGAGTTGCGAGACCGGAGGTATATAAGGCTACGGTCGGAGAGTCCGAGTACAAGCTCCTTTTCATATTGGTGAAAGTAAACCACTCATCTTTGCTCGTGTATACCTTTGTCGCCTCCCTCTGCATAGAGGACCAAAAGCGAGAGGAACTCTTTTGTTTTTTTTCTCAGAAGGGAGATGCAAGGTACTCGAGTTGATCCTAGGAGCCTTTACCTTCGACGACGGATTTCTTCCTCACGAGTGGCAGGTTTAGGTTGTGGCTTGGGCTCAAAAGGAGCCACCAGAGAAGGTTGACTAGTTTCTCCTCTTTCTGACAACATAATAAAACTTATAACAACAGACCAAGAGGTCGTTGACCCTGCTTCCAGCCTCTCTTCTGAAGCCTCATCCTTAGCTTCACTTTCTTCTGAAAAGCTTGATTTCGTTTAGCATCCTGGCATTGTGTTTTGGAAGGACCTATACCTACCAAAGAACTCTTAGGTCTCTCTCAATGAGAAACAACTCTCTAGTAGAGACTCTCTAAATCATAACTGAAGACTGAAAGACGGAAAATATAAAGTCCACATCTTCTTCTGTGTACTCTCAGACATGGGCCACTACTTGCGCCTTGTCCACTCTCACTACAGTCTCTGAGTGGACAAACTTTGCCCTCAGTTTTTTCTGGGCAACTCGAATGGCAACCTACTCCCCTCGTTCGGCCTCCTTAACATTAGAGGCAGCCTAGAGGGCAACAATCATCTAACTGGATTTCTCTAGCTGAAGCACCATGCTGATAATCAACAGAACGATGAATTGTTGAACCGACAATTGTCTCCTACAAATTGTGCCCTCCTCATCGTCAGATTCTTTTTCTTCTTGTAAACACACACCCTATTGAGACGATCTAGATTCCTCAGCCCAGGAGAGGTGAGCCGATGAGAAAGCATAGTTTTCAATCCTTCATCTTGTTTTCTAAACCAAGCAACAAGTATTTGTTGATCGAACTAAATTGCACATAATCATCTAGATCAACCTAAAATGAAAATATATAAGCTAAGAAGTTGTATCACCAAAGAGCTTCGATCCGACGACAGTGAACGATGTAAGTCATTATACCGACAATAGAGTTAGGCTTAATATATGCCAAGATAACTCGATAATGATTGAAAATCGCTCGCAATTCGTAGCAGAAGGGTAACCTTGCCAAACTTGAGCTGGTCTCGGTAGAAGATGAGGTCGTCCCAAACCTGTCAGTCACTTGTGCACTCCCCCCAACGGTTTGAAGCTCTATTGTGAGGTCGAAGATATAAAAGTCATATAAACGAGCCACCTCTCTTGATAACAGAATCGATCTATCGGTCCCTGCGACCGATTCAAAGATTTGAGGAAAGTATTTTAGAGCCATCCATAAGAAAGAAAAGGTATCATAAAATCAAGAAAAGGTTAAGTGAAAGAAAGTTAGAGACCACAATGTCTGAGGGAAGGGAACGAGCCTTTGGGTGGGGAAAGCAGAAGTCTCCAAGGGGGTCAAGGGTTAGTAGAGCTACTTCCTTCCTCTCATTTCAGTCAAGCCGGTATATACCTCCTCTCCTTTCAGCTGAGCAAGTTTCTCCAAATTGGAAGTAGAACAGTTAAGACCTGCAGATATGATACCTATATTTCATCCCAAACAAGCTTATGAGTTCGCATCAAACTTGGAAAATAAAAATTGAATGCCCTTCAATATTAGCAAAAAAAAAATTTATGCAAACATTGTAAGGATTAAGGACTAAAGACTGCATTACAGGACCTAAGAAAAAGGAATATGATCTACACAACCCTCAGCCACGGAAGGTAAAGGATTAGAAAGGGTATTGCTCCTAATAACTCCTGTTTTACTGGAGATAAAAGACCAACCAGCTGTATTTATCTATTCAATTGATTAATTCCAATTTAACCAATGTTAAAACATTTCAATTCATAACCAAATGGATGGTACAATAGAGCATTGCTGCTGCAAGCCCATAAGCACTAAGCTAGGGCAGTTCCATTATTTGGCTTTAAAGAAGAGAAAATATCCAATATATCCACATGGTTACGAACACAGCCTGGAGATTTCGAAAGTATATCATGCGCAACTTCGTGTCTCCCTGCTTCCAGTAAAGCTCTGAAAAGACGAAGAAAAACTGCAACGGATGGGAATTGTTTAACAGTCATTGCCTTCAAAAAACCCATAGCATCAGAAACAGAGCCCGACTTGGACATATGAACCATAAATGGTTCCACAAATGGTGGAAATCCTTGTCCTTTCATCAACTCAAGGAGACTCATGGCTTCTTTCAAAGAACCCTGATTTACCAACTTTTCAATAAGAAGCTTATAAGTGCTATGTTGTGGTCGATATTTCTTCTTCATGACCATCTCTTTAAGAATCCTGAAAGCATCCATATTTCGATTCTTCTTAAAAAGCCCGCTGACCAATACTTCAAATGCACTGCCATCATCATGGCCACAACCATTGGTTTCAACCATTTCATGAAAATAAGAAACTGCCTTGTCGAGCTCACCAGCTAGAGCATGGTTCTGAACCAAAAATGCCCAGGCCTTCAGATTTGGAAAAAGGCCTAAATTTTCCAGGCTCCTCACATGTTCACAAGCCGCGTCAAGTTTTCCGGCTCCACACAAGCCTACAACTACCTGGTTATGTATTGAGCTATCTGCTACAAACCCCCCTTCCTCCATGGCCTTCAAGACGTTGCCACACTCTCCCAGTCTGCCAACACTCTTAAGTGATTTCAGTGCACCTACAAAAGTTGATGCATTTATGGTATTTCCAGACTTTATAAAAATGGTAACAATCCTTGTTATCAAAGTCATGTCCAGATCTTTGCTGACAACAATCTTTTTTAAAAGGTGCAAGAAATCACCAGCTGGTGGCTTTCCAGGACCAGCCATGGCGAACTCATACAAATCTATAGCTGCAGCAACCATTTTCCTCTTTTGGAACCTATCTAAAACTGTAAAATATACATCATGCTCCAATTTATATCCAGCGTTTCTCATCTTATGAAGAACGTCCCAGAATTCCTTGATGCAATCTTCTCGACCGAAAACCTTAGCAAATGCATTGTAAACAGTACCATCTATTTTAAAATACTGTATGTCTCTGACCCATTCCAAAAAAATCAGAGCTTTTTGTGGATTGGAGCCTACGCTTTCCAGTACAGAAACAATCAACTCAGAGGACAAAGAAATGTCTAAATGCAGTAATTTCTTCTGTATTTCTTCTGAATCTGCTTTTTCGTTGAGTATCCTGCAAATCTTTGGGCACATTCTCGCAACTATATGTTGATCAGTATTTTGGAGATACACTTCTTTCAAATGTGTTCCAAAATCATCTCCCTTCCCATCATTTACAAGACTTTCATGGATCTTCAAATATGTATCCTTGGAGATCCCAAAGCCTTTCTTTTTCATGGTCTCAACGAAGTCCCAGAACTCCCCTGACTCCCCATTGATCCCTACAATTCTGAGCATCATATTGTAAGATTTTGACCTCAAAATCTGGCTATCTCTATCGGATACCCAATCGAAGAACCTCCGAGCCGTTTCCAAATTCCCTTCGAGGTTCTGAAGTGCCAAATATACGGTCTCCCGATCCAGATAAACATTGCGGGATTCAAACTCGGCCTGGATCTCATGGGAATCGATGCGCTTAGAAAAGATATCTGCCACAAAAGCGAGATCGCGATCCTCGCGCTCGATAGCAGCCTCCGACGAGAAATAACGCCGTTCAAGGTTTCTAGCCACACGAATGGTGACTAGAGGTTGAACGAATATAGAGATTTGTTGTTCCCATGGCCTCACCTGGGATAAACCAGTCCTTGAGAGCTGTGTAGAGATCCGCGGGTAGAGCGATTTCCAAGCGCTTTTCATCATTCGAAGCCGTGGCGGCGGTGAGATAGAGAGGCTGAAAAGAACCGAAGAGCAGTTCGGGTTATGATCAGACGACTGCGTAGAAGAATGGAGAGCAGGGACAATATGAGGACGTTGGGTTTAGTGGGTTAGGGTTTGGAGACAGCTCCTCCGGAAGAAGACAACCGATGGGCACAAACTTCACTTAAATCATGTAAATTGGAAATTGCGGCATTTACATACATACCACTTTTAAACAGGAAAATTTTGAGTACCTAAGAGATATCAGGCTTATACAGAGCCTACAGAGCCATAGTATCAGCGTTATATCTTCTATAACCTACATGTAGCATATACTTATCTTCTATTAAGTTTCACGGTTCTACTTTCATATATTTATATGTTACAGTTAGATTATGAGGAGATTACAGAGAATATAACACAGATATAACCCTCCTGTACCCTCTGTATAATTCTGACGTACACAATGTTGCGTACGTCTTACGCACGCAATTTTTTTCACTGTTAAACACTAAAATTTTAATTTTTAGGTTTATACCACTCAAATCTTTCAAACCACCTCAAAATGATTATTATTTTAATTTTTAATAAATAAATATAATTTTTATACAAAATTAAAAATTATATTAAAAATTCGTTTC